ATCTTTTAAGAAGACTAAGGTTAAAGTTAAAAATAAAATTCTATCCAAGTTTATATATGAAAAATCAAGCACATTTTGTATATTATACTCCATTCATTCTATTGTTCATTCAATAAATCAAATATTTATTAATCGAAAATATATCTCATAAATATTTTTGTTATTACTTGATTTTCATATTATAACTTTTGCATTATAATCCCGCTGCAATTTTAATTAAAAAGACCCCTTAGGCTACATAAAGGAGAAGATTGACGCTAAAAAAAAATTAAACAATAGAGAAAATTTAATTACATTATAACACTTAAAGTCAAATTGGTAAAAAATGCCAACTTGAAATAATAAGGATAAGACAACAGAAGATAATATTTTTGTATTATAAATGAACTTATTANATTTAACTACAATTTATCTACAATTTCTGGAAATATGTCTTCTTCTTCTTCTTCTTCTTCGAGTTTCAATCTGAAATTTAGTCAAAACCAAGTCTAATCTTCACCAAAACCCCTCAAAATTGAGATATAAACTCCTAAACATATTCCGAATTATTTACAACAACACCCAATCCAAACAAATAATGATTTTTGAGAACCCAAATTTGAATTCAAAGCTTTCAAGCTTTTTAATGGCTATCAATGGTGGAAAATATATGGAAGAACAGATGAAGATGAAAAACAGAAATCTCCTTTCCGTTTCAATATTCTTCTCCTAAATCTGTTCTGAATATTCACGCCAAATCTGTTCAGAATATTCTTCTCCTAAAATTTAGCTCGCATAAATAGGAAGATACAACTGCTTTTAATTAGTTTTTAATGATTGGTACAAAAACTGTAGAAATAATGTGGACTGGGCGGGTAATTTAGAAATTATGCACATTTTGGTAATAAGGTTTCATATATGGTATAGATAAGAAAAAATCCCTTCTAATAATTACTAGATGAGGAAAGGCCCGTATACGGGCCCAACATTGTAATCTTAAAATTATTATATGTCGGTGCTCAATTAATTTTTTGATAAATAAATCGATCATTGTTATATCCATTTAATAACTGATAGAGAATGATATTGGGGATCATAATTTACAATTAATTTATTTTAATAATTTACAAAAAATTAAACTATAAATTATAACCTACTTAAGTTGCTCCAATTATTAACATAAAAAGACTATGTGCTATAATACTCATTTTAACATCAATGTCAAATATAAACATCAAATTGTAAAATTGATTGAATGGTATTATTACCCCACTATATTTGAATTTTTAATTATAGGGTTTTAATTTTTTCTTAATTTCTATTATATAGAAAAGGAAAGATGGTTGACCAAGGGCATATATGTCATTTCATAAAAATTTCATGTGTGCATTTCTTAAATGCAAAAATACACGTGGACCCTACATTTCTCTAGCCACAATTCTCCTTTAAATGCACTATGCATGTGTTGATTAGACTTTGTGCAGTGCAAATGCTCATTTCCAATCTTTTTCTCATTTTGAAAAATTATTAATTTTGTTTTATTCAAATAGAAGTTTCCATAGAGAAAATAAAATTAATTTTTAAATAATACAACAACAAAAAGAAGTATTGATATTTACAAGATTTTCATATTTACTCATACTATCTTAAAGCAATTTGAAAATAAAAATTGAATGATTTTTTTCTATCCTTACTATTTAAAGACGATTTCATACTAAATGTTTTTATATTCAAAAGTAATTTTAAAAAATATAGCTTGTTAAACCTCAAAGTTAATTAACTAAACACCAACAAATAATAATTTTAATAAAATTACAATATTGGGCCCGTATACAGGCCTTTGCTCATCTAGTTAAGGATATAAGAGAAATATTTTTATTTTTTTCTATAGATTTATCATATGTTAATTGTTATAATGAAATAATATAAAATATTTTAAGACAATTTATAGATTGTTGAAAACATATCATGGAAGAATGGAGTTCAAACCATATAAATCAAATTTTCACATCAATTAAGTACATAAGAGATAACCTCCTAGAATAGATGAACAAATATCAGCACTTAAATTAACTTTTAGTGAAGTTTAACAAACTATAGTTTTAAAATTACTTTTGAATATAAAACTTTTAGGTTATGAAACCGCCTTCAAATGAATACATGAAAACCTTTAATTTTATTTTTTAAATTGTGTTAAAATGGTATGGTTAAATATGAAAAATATTGTAAATATTTATCTATATTTTTTTTTGTTGCTTTATTATTTAAAAATTAAATTTACTTTTTCTGTGAAAACTTTTAGTTGACTGAAACAAAAATTAATAATTTTATCAAATGAGAAAAAACATTCAAAATGAGTATTTGCATGGAGTAACTCTATGCAAAAGTAGTCTTATCAACACTACATTTAAACTTTTAAAAGAGTACTGTGGTCAAGGGAATATGGGGTCCACGTATTTCAAGAAGGACACAATTTGCATTTAAGAAATGTAAACAACACAATAATTTTTTTCAAAATGACATATATACCCTTGGTTGACCATCTTTCCTTTTCAATATAATAAAAATCTGTGAAAGAAAATCCTATTACCTTTGACTATTAAAGAGATGCGCCTTTGTGATTTAATGAAATTTAATGTGTTCAAATGTCAGGATTGATTGAAATAACTCTGAAAGAAGACCTTGAGTATAACTATTACTCCCTCCGCTTCACTTTAATTAATTTTTTGGTCGTTTTCACACATATTAAGGAATTCACCTTTTAGCATTAATTAACAATAAAATTGACCATATTAACCTTAATTTGTTCATTGAAAATATAACAAATACTCCTATGCTCTTTACTCCAAGGGCAACTTTTGAAAAAAAAAGTTAATTCCTTCTTGATATCTCAAAAAAATAAAATATTGTGGATCATAAAAAAGGCCAAAAAATAATTAAAGTGGACCGGAGGGAGTATCGATTATTAAAGAGATGTGATTTTGTAGCTTTTTATGGTCTAATCAATGAAATTATTATGCTCAAATGTCAGGATTGTTTCAAATGTTTCATAGGTAAAATAGCACAGGCTAGCCAGTTTTTGGACTGGTCATTCAAAAATAGTCAGCGTTTGCAAAGTCATTGAAAAATAGCCACTATTTTGCTGCAACACGAAAAGTTCCAGCATAATATACTGGAGATCGTTGCACCTGTGTATGAATTTCCAGCATATTATATGGAACTCCAACACGCGGAAAGTTCCAGCATAATATGCTGGAGATTGGAGCATCTGTGTATGAACTTCCATCATATTATGCTGGACCGGTATATTATACTGGAGTTTCCAGTATATTTATACTGGAACTCCAGTATAATATACCTGAGTTCCAGTATATTATACTGGAATTCCAGTATATTATGCTGGATTATTTTTTGGATTTTGAACAGTGTTTTCATTCAGATTTATCTTTACATGAAAAGTGACTAAATTTTGATTACTTTTGAAACTGTGGCTATTTTTAAATGACCACTTGCAAAATCTGGCTATTTTTGAATTTCTCCCGTTTTTTAGTCCATCCAAAACAAAAGGATAAGATACAAACTTGGCCGGCCCACGAAACTAATTGCATTTTATGGTCTAATCAATGAAATTATTATGCTCAAATGTCAGGATTGTTTCAAGTGTTTCTTATTCCTTCCAAAACAAAAGGATAAGATACCAACTTGCCCGGTCGATCGAACTTAATTGCATTCGCCAACTAAAAAGTATATAAAATTTATATATATTATATGTATATATTAGAAGCGGCTAAAAATATAAATTTCACAAAATAAAAACAGAAGAAGTTTTTGAGCCCAATTGAGGAATATTTGGGGAGAAGTGCACCAGTAGCCATTTTTAAGACTGCTAATTTAAAATTCAGGACATAAGATTCGAACTTTTGGACATAATTTTTGAACTTTAGAACATGATGTCCTGAAGTTTGAACTTTGAGGTTTAAATTTTCGGACGTCGTGTCATGAAATTTTGAGCTAATTGGCTAATCTTTAAATATATTGCAAATTGTGAATATATTTTAAGCAACATGCTTAAAGGTGGCTAGTCATTTCCACGAATATTGGACCCTGTAGATATCACATTCGTAAAAATAGCACGAGCTAGCCAGTTTTCGGACTGGTTATTCAAAAATAGCTAGCGGTTGCAAAGTCATTGAAAAATAGCCACTATTTTGCTGCAACACGGAAAGCTCCAGCATAATATACTGGAGATCGGTGCACCTGTGTATGAACTTCCAGCATATTATGCTGAAACTCCAACATGCGAAAAGTTCCAATATATTATGCTGGACCGGTATATTATACTGGAGTATTTTTCAGGATTTTGAACAGAGTTTTCGTTCAAATTTGTCTTTACATGAAAAGTTGCTAAATTTCTAGGTAAAATATCATGGTATAGCCAGTTTTCACACTGGTCAATGAAAAATAGCCAGCGTTTACCAAGTCAATGAAAAATAGCCACTATTTTGCTGCAACAGGGACCGGTCCAGTATAATATACGGGAGTTCTGGTGCATTTGTGTACGAACTCCAGCGTATTATGCTGGACCGGTATACTTTGCTAACTCCTGTAAAATTTGCGGGAGACTGGAGCACCAGTGCTCCAAACTCCAGTATATTATACCAGACAATTATACTTGCTGGAACTCCCGTAAAATTTGCGGGAGTTCCAGCATAGTTATCCTGGAACTCCCGTAAAATTTGCGGGCGTATTTTTCCGGATTTTGAACAGTGTTTTCGCTCAGATTTAAAGTGGCTAAATTTCGATGACTTTTGAAACTTGGCTATTTTTCAACGACCAGTGATAAATCTGGCTATTTTTGAATTTCTCCCAAATTTCTATTACTTTTGAAATTATGGCTATTTTTGAATGACCACCGATAAATCTGGCTATTTTTGAATTTCTCCCATCACATTCACATCCCAATTGTCATTTAGCCCAACGGACTTCAAATTTACAAAGCCCATATCCACTCTTCAAATTGTATAGGTCGTTATTCCTGTCACAAAGCTGCCTAGCTCCTCTACATCTCTTTCTCCGGCCGACGCCTCCTTTCTTCAGTTCCCTTATTCTGGTAATAAGTTTACTCAATACTTCTCTCTAGCTCTATTCCATAGAGAGAACCTAAGTAATTTTAACTAGCTAAATCTGCATCCTTCTTTTTGTTATCAGTGTGAGTAATAATGGCTCTTTTTTCATAGTTGTTTATGATTTTGCATGTTAATTTTTATTTGCTACCCATGTGATAAATAGGTCCAAATTTTTTATATCTAGTGAAACTAAGAAACTATTTTAGGTCGACCAAGAATTTAACTAGTTAGAATTTGTGTTCCTTTTTTGGCGACCTGTGAGTAACAATAGCTCATTTTTATAGTTATTTATAACTTTTATAGGTTAATTAGCTTCTTACTTGCTACGCATGTGATAAATGGGTCCAAAATTGTAATATTTCCAGTGGAAGTAATGATTTTTTTTTGTGGGTGTAGCAAGATTATTTTGACAGAGATGGGTGGTGCTAAAGCAAGGAAGAAAGGCATCACTAAGAAGTTGAAGAAGGGTGCTACCGAATTCTCCGCTTCTAAAGATAAAGCTGCTGACTTTCTGGTATGCTTATGCGCCTCAATGCTCAAGAAGTTCTTGGCAAGAGAGAAACATTGAGAATCGTTTTGTTCTCGTTATGATTTTTTTGTAGACTTCAAGTTTCAAAAGTTTTTCTTTCTAAAAAGAAACTTTCCCCAGTCAAACACCATCACATAAAATTGGATGGAGGGAGCACTCCCTTTTACGCGGAATTCTCTCCTCTAGAATAGTGGCTGGGGATAGTTTTCTTGTTGATAAGATGCTGGGACAAAATTAAGTGCAGTCTATAAGAACTTAAAAAGTTTTAGCACTACAGTTTAAACAGAATTTGCTCTTTATGCTACTATTGATTTACTTATTGGGTACCCTTTATGACAAGCGATGTCAAATGCTCATTTGAGGCGCGCTTAAGCTCTGAAGCTCAGAATAGCTTGGGGATAGGCGCTTCACCTCACTTAGGCTGCGCTTCAGTGTAGGCAAGACACTAAGGTGTACACTTCATTGCCCATTAATTCTATCTTGAAACGAGCATTATTCGTGTCAGTTACCTTTTTCTCGAGTAAATATAGATTTTTATTTTTTCTCTCTATTGCGCGCTTTTTAATTAAAACCCACACTTTAGTTGCGTTTTGCACTTAAAGCCCCGATAGACCTGGAGCGCTTTTTAACGCTTTTCGCCTTTGACAACACTATTTATGATATCTAGTGTCACTAAGCCATGAGTCATGAGTCAGTAGAGGCAGCAATGTTGGTACATAATTTTCAGCCAACGAGCATTATTCGTGTCAGTTATTCTCCATGCAGCCTTAATTTACCATAAGTGTATTGGTTGCTTCGATCATGTAAAAGCTACACTCTACGTCATTTCCTTTGTTTGCTGTGCTTTGAGTAAACTAGTCTCTTTTACTGTAAAGGCAAAAGTCTATCTGCAGTTCTGTTTTAGACGAAGAGAAGAAAGTAGAGGATTTTCTTTTTGGCAATGGCTTGCTTTTTCTGACTTGTGTTTTTCCCATAAAAAATAGCCATTGGAAGGTGGGCCGGCTAGGAAACTTCCAGATATTGAAGTGCGCGAAAGTAAAGCAACAGTGTTGTATATTGGAAGGATTCCACATGGATTTTATGAGAATGAAATGGAAGGTTTGCATTTCTCACATTGTGTTTTCGTCCCCTTTCGAATGAGCCTATTTGGCTTTTATCCTCTTTGTAACATTACCAAGTTAAATAACTTTGTTGTGCCATTTTCTGCTGCTGTTGTCTTTAGGTTTCTTTAAGCAGTTTGGTACAATAAAGAGGCTTAGACTTGCAAGGAATAAAAAGGTGAATACTCCAGCTAGTTCTTTATTTTTAATTTATTCAGTGTTGTTTGACTCCAACTTTCACTTGTATGCTTGTTGTCGCAATCTGACAACTTCAGAATTAGAAGTTTGTTGAAATGGGTTCACTCAAGTACCTAAAAGTGATGACATTTTTCATTATCTGTGATTAGTCATAGTAATTTAGAAAGGACAGCTGCAGTGGCTGTAGATTTTAGCATAGATTAAATGATCCAAGGAAAAAAAAGCACATGATTAGCTGTGGAGCTTTGCTGCATTATGATTCTGTATGTGAATATCCAAGTTTACTACTCCCAGCCACATTTTCCAACAAAAACCTTATTATCATTTACCTAGTGTACCTTCTTCTATCATGCCTAACCCAAGTTGCTCAGACTCCTCACTTTTGGTGCTGCACCCGTTCTACACGACGTGGATGTGGGATCCGTACCTGATCTGATCAACCGGTTTTGGGTACTTTGATCAAACTCAACGGAGAAATTGGGGATAGCTACAATGATTTCTGAAATCAAATCAAAAGCCAGGGTGAAAATTGAAGAAAATGGAATACCTTGTATATAGAAATTTCTATGTTAGCCCTTTTCCTTTTATCTCCTTCTAGGATATCCTCTTAATCAATATTTTCTCCTTCTTGGAGTACATTGTACGTTTTTTACATAATGTTTCATAATTTGGATATTTTTATAACTATATTTTTAGATACTTGAACTATTTTTAGCTGAATTCCCGCAACCAATATCCATACCCAGATCCGTACCCCCGAGTCTTAAAATTTAGATCATGAAGGATCCTACCACTAGATCTGCACCCGTATTGGACACCCGAGTCCGTGCAACTTAGTGCCTAACTGTATTACCAGATATTTCTTCTTTCAAAATTAAAATAGATTATATCCTTCCATTCTTTATGTGGTTGTTGTAATCTGTCATCTGTGAAGCTAAAAGCTGCTTCTTGGAAGTTAGATCTTCTCTGCGTAAAGATTTTGATGTGTTCATCTTCAAATATATTTGAATTGTGGTTCATAATTATGTGTGGTTTCGGAACTAAGGGCTTTGAGTCATATTTATCCTTTAAATTTCTGTTCACAATACACTTCTACCTTTCTTATTGTCTTTCTATGCAGTAATCTTTTGATTCCTTATATCCTTGTGTTTTCTTGTGTTTCCTCGTGACAGACAGGAAAATCAAAGCATTTTGGCTTCATAGAATTTGAGTCCCCTGAGGTTGTTCCTATTCCTGAGTAATTTATTGTGTTATCCACCCGTACTTAGAGAATCCCTGATTCCATCCGGGCATTTTCTTTCCATTATCTTATCTTGGGTTTTTTGGACAATTGCAGGTTGCTAGAGTGGTTGCGGATACTATGCATAACTATTTGTTATTTGAGCACTTGTTGCAAGTTTGTCTTATTCCTCCTGAACATGTTCATCCCAGATTGTAAGGGTTTCATCTTTTTAAATGGATTGTTATGATTTAAATTCATCTTCCACTTAACGATCCAAAAGACTCTTAAAAAGAAGACTATAATGGCTTGCTGAAGTGGTGGTTGAATTAATAAATAAGAATCTGTCTTAAAACCAAATGCTTTGGTTTAAGATTCCAAGTGAGATATATCTCTATCCTAGAGACTAGACAGTTGTCCTTTCTGAATAATCCCAATGACATGTGTGGTTAGGAGTACAAGTTCTGCACTGTGGAATTTGCCATTTTGCTACATATAATGTTTTGCTATGTATAAGCGACATTTTTCTTAAGAATTTTTCTTGCATTATGATTGTTAATGACTTTGGCATTGAATGACCTGATGCATATATTTAAGTGGTGTGTGGTAAGAGATTATTTTCGTTAATTTTATGTAAGCTTTCCTGAATATGTAAGGAAGCAAAATGATTCTTGTGGAATTTTTGAAGCATCCTCAATGTTCTTGAACTTAGAAGAAGATTATGGTACATGCAGAGGCGGACCTACATGGGGACTAGAGGGGTCACCGGAACCCGTTAGCCTCGACAAAAATCGTGTATATATAATATGTATATACAACAAGGACCCCTTAAATATTTTTGATGTGCCCCCAAACTAAAAAGGAGGACTGCGCGGCTGGTTTAACATTTCGCATGTGTTCCCTCACTTGCTATATCACCTGAGTTTGAGCCCCTACACCAGCGTTATTTTCATTTTATTTTTTCCCTCTATGAATTCAAGGTAGAATAGAATTCTGTATTTAGTGCTCATCTTGTTTTTTTTTCTCTTTATCTTTTCTAAGTTCATGAACAACATAGTAGTCAACTTCAATACAAATAGTCTGAATCTCCTAATTTTGAGAAACATCCTTCTTCTAGATATTGAAAAGGTAAAAGTGAGAAACATAAATAGATTAAAGGAAATTGGAAGGGGATAAGATATTTCATTAGCAAGAAGCCAATCACCTTCTTTATTGTGATAATTAAGTTTATAAGCTTTTCTATTTTCTTGACCTGTATAAAAATAAGTAATTCAATAAAAATTTCCCCAAAAACAGTAATAAAAAACTTCAAAAATCCTTATGCGATATCCGTCAATTCAACGGCATGACTGAGACTCTACTTGGACAGCTTAACAGACCTTTAATCTTGATGTTATTAGACTTAAGTTTATGATATTTTTGAACATCTTTTCGGTCACTGATTAAAAATTATTGAGTTTACGAGGAGTTAGCACGTCAGATTTTATCGTTACTAGCTGACATATCTATGTATATAGCGGTGCCCTCGTTGCGCTCAAATCCTGGGTCCGCCTCTGGGTACATGAATGAAGCTTTTTCCTAACATGGAGTTGCATGAATTGAGAATTTGGTTATCTTTTTTTTTTTCTTTTTGGTAATTGTTCTTATTGTATATCTGGTTCCAGGTGGAAAGGTGTGAACCGCTGGTACAAACCGTTGGATTGGGTTAAAATTGAAAGGAAGCGTCAAGACAAGGTAGGGTTTTGACCATGCGCGTGTGTGAGATATACAGATATTTACATGATTGTGCAAAAATTCGAGAGACATTGCTTTTAGTTCTATGAGCTCTCAAGTTTAAACAATAGTGCAAAATGTGAGATGTATGGTCTGTTAGTCCTATGAGCTCTCCTTGACCTTTTTTAATATATAAGCTAATTGAATGCTGAGGGTATTTCGGAAATAGCCTCTCTACCCCTCCGGGGTAGGGGTAAGGTCTGCGTACACTCTACCCTCCTCAGACCCCACTTGTGGGATTTTACTGGTTGTTGTTGTTGTTGTTGTAAGCTAATTGAATGCTGATAATTATCCAGGAAAGAACATTAGAAGAGCATAACAAGTTGGTTGAAGGAATTCTGAAACGTGACAAAAAGAGGCGAAAGAGGATCGAGGCAGCTGGAATTGATTACGAGTGCCCAGAAATGGTAAGAGGCACATGTTCTTTATTACTTTTAGTACTATCTTGTGCTGCAAAGTCTACTTATTTATGTATGTTATAACTGGTCCAGGAACTACCTCTCTCTCTCTCTCTTTTTTTTTTTTTTTTTTTTTTAAGTCTTTGGCTAATTTGACAGTTATTTGAGTAGTATTTCCGTTGCATGAAATATCATTTAATGATTGATCATGATGTCTTTGTTGAATAGGATATATTACACTAGAATTGTTAACAAATAAAATTAAGGAGTTTGCTTGTATAATCTCCGGACCCCACTTGTGGGATTACACTGGGTTGTTGTTGTTGTTGTTGTTGTAGTTTGCTTGTTCCATCAGAAACATATAAAACTGCAAAGAAGGCATCATGCTTGAGAAATCTATGTTTAGATAGCCATTCCTTCAGAGGCATAAAATATGAGATCTTAGATATGTTTCATAGTACATGACACTGTTATGTTTTATAATAAACAGCATATGAGAATGGTTTAAGCTCAATAAGGTAGAAAGGAAGACTTCGTAACTTATGTAGGCAGACGGAAAAGTGGAATGCCGTCCCAACACTTTTGGAATTAGGTGTCGAAAGTTTTCTCTAGGAAGCATAAAGTGAATTAACATTTACAATGTAATTTGCAGGTGGGTGCAATTCAGGCTGCACCGAAGAAGATCAAGTTTGCAGATTAGATCCTTCTAAGGCTAGTATGTGCGCTAAAAATAGTATCTATGTCAACAAGCAGACTGTTATGTGCATGTGCTGTGTGACTGAGGATCAGCTCAACTGGCAGGTTACCTACCGGCCACATTATTTTGTAGCGGGGAGCAAACTTATGATGTTGCCAAAGACTCTGGACAATCGATAACCTTGGATTTCTTCGCTTTTTTGACAATCTGAAAGTGAAAAGGTGGTTGTAGCATAGAGACAGATGAAGCATTTGACAATTTTATGTATGTTTTGTATACCTTGAATCTATCGTCAGTTTACTATAGAGCACTCGCGCTTTTTATTTGGTCCTAAAATCAAAGCTATGAGAAAAAAATTTTATATCCTAGGTTTCAGGTCTTCAAAAGAAAAAGATCTTTGACTTTACTGTGGATTTACTCTTATCTTTGTTGAGTCGAGTAGTATTTACAGTATTTGTCTAGTGTTAATGGCCGAGGCTCTATTAGAGATAGTTTCTCTACTTTCACCAGGCAGGGATAAGATTTGCGTGCTAGTACTCTTCTTAAATCTCACTTGTGGGATTATACTGGATTTATTATTGCCGTTGTCCAGTGCTAATTGGGATTTTAAACCACTACGTCACTCTCTCTCAATCTCTCTCTCTCAAACTAAAAGGAGCCTAATCAAGAATCCATTTAAATTACTTTTTTTGGTTATACTAAAGGGAGATGAGAGAAAAATGTTTCTATTATTGACCTACTATATTTTCTCTCCATCTTCTCTTGAATTTTCTTTTCCTCAACATCCCTTTCCTTAGGTTCAAGTGTTGGGTAACTGATGTTTTATACTTAATACCACACGG